GTTCCTAAGGAGAATCAGCTATGTCTTACAAGGCAAATACCTCTGGGAAGGCCATTATAGGTACTTCACACAAAGCAGGGTTAAATTCTCAAAGAGGAGTGGAAGGGCTGCTTTTGCTGGCAAAGACAATGGATTAAAATTTAGGGGCTCACAAGATGCCCATCAACAGATGAATGGATAAAGAAGATGTAGTATATATATGGAATATTATGCAGCCATCAAAAAACCGAAATCTTGCCATTTTCAATGATGAGGATGGAACTAGAGGGTATTATGCTAAGCAAAATAAGTCAATCAGAGAAAGACATGTATCATATGATCTCACTGATATGAGGAATTCTTAATCTCAGGAAACAAACTGAGGGTTGCTGGAGTGGTGGGGGGTGGGAAAGATGTGGAGGCTGGGTGATAGACATTGGGGAGGGTATGTGCTATGGTGAGCGCTGTGAATTGTGTAAGACTGATGAATCACAGACCTGTACCTCTGAAACAAATAATACATTATATGTTAAAAAAAAAGATAGTAGGAAGGGAGAAATGAAGTGGGGGGAAATCGGTGGGGGAGATGAACGATGAGAGACTATGGACTCTGAGAAACAAACTGAGGGTTCTAGAGGGGAGGGGGGTGAGGGGATGGGTTAGCCTGGTGATGGGTATTAAAGAGGGCACGTACTGAATGGAGCACTGGGTGTTATACGCAAAAATGAATCATGGAATACTACATCAAAAACTAATGGTGTAGGGCGCCTGGGTGGCTCAGTTGGTTAAGCGACTACCTTCGGCTCAGGTCATGATCCTGGAGTCCCAGGATCGAGTCCCGCATCGGGCTCCCTGCTCAGCAAGGAGTCTGCTTCTCCCTCTCCCGCTCCCCCCTCTTGTGCTCTCTCTCTCTCTCACTCTCTCAAATAAATGAATAAAATCTTTAAAAAAACCCCAAAAACTAATGGTGTAATGTTATGGTGATTAACATAACAAAATAAAATTTAAAAAATTTAGGGGCCCCGTACCCCATTCCAAATTTGAGGTTTGCATTCCTTCTCAATCAATGTCCTTATTTTAACAGCAGATACTCTGTTAGATGGGGAATTCATTTTGCATTGTAATTCAACCATTTTGCAGGATGAGACTCTGGGTTTGGTTTTCAGCAATCTCAGCTCTGCATCTACAGGAGATGAGTTTCTTTAGGGCAGACATAAAGACTTTCAGGTTATTGACGCAGAGCTTGAGCTGGGAATCTGAAGACCTGAGCTCATCCTTTTCTTTCCGCTTTCTCCAGCATAGTTAGCAGCAAGCAGTCAGCAACCAGTCAGTCTAATTACACTTGTTAATTCGACAAAATGTTTTAAGTCATCAAATATGTGATCATCCCATCAAGAACCTTATCTTTTATAAATACTTGGCATAAGATGGTAATGTTCTGCATTTTGCCTATCTCTATTGCCACATCATATCATGGGTTATCAGCGCCCTTTTCACCACTGGAAATAGTCATTAATTAGTGCCTTTAAATCTAATCTGATTAGGGAACCAATTCCAAGAACACCATAACCAATTCAGAAAACTAATCTTTGAGAATCTGTTCCTCTAGAACCACTCTGAGCACCAAACTCTGAATCAGACAAGTTTCTTCAGAGATACAAAGCCAACAGGAAAAAATATATACATATATCTCAATCTGTCTTTAGGTTGATCTATATTTAGGTAAATGGATATTTATTTCTATGTATTAGAAATCTATTATTTGATTACTTACCTAAATAGATACAGATTTATTTTAAGGAGTTGGCTCACAAAATCAGGGGGCCAGCAACTCTGAAACGTGTAGGGCAGATCTGCAGGTTAGAAACTGGCAGAAATCAACGCTATAGGCTTGAGGATTTTTTCTTCTTGAGACACTTCAGCTTAAAATTCAGGCCTTCAATTGATTGGATGAGGCCCACTCACATTATTGAGGGTAATCTCCATTACTTAAAGCAAACTGATTGCAGATGTTAACCACATCTTATAACACCATCACAACACCTAGATTAGTGTTTGATTAAATAGCTACGCAGTATAGCCTAGTCCAGTTGACATATAAAACTAACCATCACACATAGTGAAGTTAGATTTCCCAACTAAACCTTACTTTCAACTATACCAAAAACTTTTTGACCAAGAATACCTTATGTGCTCCAAAAAGGCAGTAAAATTCCAGGAGGACCACTTTGGTGAGTGGACTGGAGGAACAGTCCTTCCTCCAAGACTGGAGAAACAAACCTTCCATAAACCACCTCTCCTACCTCCAAGAATACCATCATGCTTAGGAAGCTATGAGATTGTATCTACATTTAAAAAATCTTTATGTTTAAAAAATGTGATTTTCAACTGCACAACAGAAATCACACTTTAAAATTACACTTCTGAGTGCTGTCACTTTGGAAACTAATGACATAAAAAGAGGGATGGTGTCTACTGATTCTGTTGCTTACCTTTACTTTAACTAGAAAACTTGCAAGTTACTACTCCATTTTCTCTCACTGACAAAAGTATAATCCAAACCAGGAGAATCCAAAGCAGGCTGGGTGAATAATGAGCCATATAATCAAAACAGTGCATAAAGAAATCTTATAAATGGATTGAAATAAATTCTCTATGTCCTTTAAAAAAAAAAAAAGAATTTTTAAAACTTTTCTTGGCAATTCATTCATTAAGCACCCAGGTATCCCAGGCACTGTTCAAGGCACTCACTGAACAAAATGATGATCCTTGCCTTGTTGGAACTCACATTCTAGCACGGTATCATCTTTATCGAGTTATTTTCTCTCTGAACATAATAACCCAAGCATCAGGAAGTATCAAAAAATTTTCTGAAAATCTATTATATGGCCGCCAACTTCCAGTTCTGAGGCTGGTCTTCCAGCAGGCACTATTTCATTATTAGCATAGATTCTGGTCTCTGGAGTCAGCCTGCCTTGGTCCAAATCCTAGTTCACTACTTCCCAGCTGCTTGACTTTGGCCAAGTTACTTAACCCTCATCTTTAAAATAATAATAATAATAATAGCAACGACCCCACTGGATTACATAAAAATTAAATGAGTTCCAATATGTAAAGCACTTAGTCTGGCACATAGAAGGTACCAAAATATTAGCTATTATTTTACTTCAATTTTCAGAAAACCAGATATTACTCAAGGAATAATGGGGAAAAATAACATCAACAGTAATTTTAAAACAATTTTATCTAGCCCATTCACTCCTTCCATTACTACTACATTCAAGAGTTCTTCTATTCTCAACTCAAATTGCATGACTTTCAGTTAAGTTTGAGAAAAATCGTAAGATGTGATCTCTATATATCTCATGCATGATATTAATTCATGGTGGAGTTTATATAAACACATAGTTAAGAAGCTTTTAATTTAATGAAAAAATTTCTTAAAAAGTCAAAATTAGATTCATTTTTCCTAAAATTACCACAGCAATTATCTCAAGAAACCTTAGCATCAGAACCAGCAAATACGTGCTACGTCATTGCTTAGTTCTAGTGGATAGATACGTATATAGTACATTCAATCTCTAGGACCTATACCTTTGCAGTTGTCAATATTCATGAACTGAAATTAATTCTCAACACAGCTCATTGCATTTAATAAAAAGTACAGGCACAGTCATCTGAAATTGATGGCTCATCCTCATTTGTTAAAAATAGGCCTCATTCTTGGTCCAAAGTTATAAAGGGTCAAGAACCTCAGAAAGGTTAATTCCCACAATTTGGAAGTGACTTGATTGTAAACTACAGGCTGCAAATGTTGCCATTCCCAACGCGAAGTCGCATTAATATAACTACCTACTGAGAAGTAGGAAGGCCAGTAAAACTTACGTTTTCAAAACTGCTTTTAATGGGATCAATTTTGGTAAAGAATTCAAAATGAAACTGTAAATCTAATCACGCTGTTTTTACGCCATGAAGGTGGAGAGGCGCTGAGGCACAACAACGTTAAAACGTAACTCATCAATAACCTTAGTTCACAGATACAGTTCCGACCCTATGTCTCGCGATGAAAGGCCTGAACTATGGAGCTTCCGAGTTTCAGTAGAGTAAACGCCTTGGACTCTCTAGTGTAAATCTGAGGGGATGGACAAAGTGCGTTTTCTCCCCCAACCATCCCATACCAAAGTCCAGCCAACACAGAATACTACTACTATAGCGTTTCTCAAGAATAGTGATGGGCTGCCCCCTCTCTCCAGAATCTGATAGATGAGAATGGCCTTCTTGAAGGGAGGTATGGCAGGGATTCCCAAATACAGCAATAAAGAATGACCTGTCAGTTCCTAAGAAGTAAGATGTTGCTCAATTTTAAAACAACTCCCAGGGCGGGGGCTCCCAAGACCCTCCTCAGCCATCTTCTGACGTAGGGAAGAGCAGAGGGTGAAGGGCTACAAAGCAGAAAGCTGAAAAACAGTCCCCCAAACAGTATTTGCCGAGGCACAGGCCTGCCAGAGAAGGGCGGGGGTGACCTCTTTCGGCTGCCAGGGGTGGCGGGCGGGCGAGTCTGGAGAACCCCAGCCCCGCAGACGGATTCCCCGGCGTAGCCTGAGCAGCGGTGGGCGCGGGGCATGTGTCGGGTTCGCGCCCTGGTTCTGCTCCCCAACGTGCACCGGGTTGAAGGTGCCCTCTCGACTTCTCCACCCCCTCTCCCCCCCGCGCAGTTCCTTAGAGGTCTTGGGCCTTCGCTACCTCTTAGAAAATCGAGGCCACGCCGTTTCTCGCCGCACAGGCCGAAAGACAGCTCTTCTGATGCTCACTCAGCAGAGTGACCTGATCGAGCGTGGGTCAGGGTGCCGGAACTCACGGGTCTCAGGCGAACACTCGCTGCCCCCCGCCACCGCCGGCACCCCCTGACCCGCCAGCCGCGCCCACTAACAACGTGCTTGCCACTGCCCTTGCGGCTCCGCGCGTCCCTCAGCGGGCCCCCCGCGCGCAGCACGACGGGACTCGTAGTTCCGGCGCGAAGGTCGAGAGACCCTCCACTCGCAGCCGAGAGTGGAGACACGTGACCCGTCCACTCCCCGGAAGTGGCGTAACAACACACGCGTGGCGCCGACCGCCGCTTCCGCAAACAGTACCGTGGATGGCTGTGTCGGTAAGTGTGGAGTCTGGAACTCTGGCCATTCTTTGTCTTTAGCCCCTCCGTCGCCGTCGCGATAGAAGGGGCACTCCAACTCCTATCATGGGCTCACTTCGCGCTAGTCCTGTTCCTTCAGTACCGGTCGCTCGAGGTTTATTGTGCACCCAACCCGAAGCTAAGTGGGCAGTACTTGTGGGAGTCGGCGGGCTCTGTTGCTCATTCAGACCGAGTGAGCCGGGGTCTGGAGCAGCCCTAAGAGCTGTCTCAGGCCGCACCTCAGCGGTGCTGAGAAGGCAGGCTGGGGGAGGGATTGTCGGATCCGAAGAAGCGTCTGTGTTGTCTTGAGTCTTGAGTGGCGGATCGGAAACGTGAGCCGGAGGTTTAGTGAGAGCTAGGCCGCGCCAATGACGGAAGAGGGTGATCTTGGCTGAAGATTTCCCTTCTCGCCTCTGTTGCGTCCTCTTAGGCCTCCCGAGTTGACCCCTGTTTAGCTGGCGGGTCAGGGTGTAGAGGTTATCCTGCTTGAGGTTAAGCCTGGGGGTCCTAGGGCTCGGTCGTTCTTTGAAGAAACTGAAATGGAGACGGGGCCTGCCTCAGAGGTGTGACTGGAAAGCCAGGTCGACATGCCTATTTGGATATTTAATGTATTACCATCTCTGTGTCAGTTTAATCATTACTCTAAGCTCCTTCCTCGAGGATTCTGAGGGGCAACTCTCTTTAGTTTGGAGTTCTTCATTATTGCACTTTGATGCCCCGTTTTTATCTTTGTTACCCATTTCTGCGGTCCTTTAAATTCTGTGAGGTTTATTCTGAGAATCGGTTATGTTTTTTATGACATCCCATCTGTGGTAATAGAGTTGTCTAGACATTTGATAATTCGGTGGCCAGTATTATTACATAATCATTTTAAACTGCTATTCTGAAAATTAAATTTCTGGGTCCCCCCCCCCCCGCCCCGATTCAGTTCTTCCTAGTTTGGCACGTCTTGGTATTTTGTTACCTACACCTTGGGTAGTGAAAGCTAATATCCCTTGAAACCCTTCCTGGTTTATAGTGACTTGTTTTTACCCATTCCCTTAAGCAACTTCATTTCTTATTCTATTTCTTCATTCAAAAGACTTTACCCCCACCTCTTCATAAGTTTCAGGTTTTGAATTTGCTGAATCTCACCAATTTTTGGACTTTTGCTCTCCCTTCTCCATTTGGTTTGACTAATACAGCCTAACATTTTAGAAGTGGTATATAGATTGTAAGCTTCTTGAAGACTAACCACATAGTGCCTTATTGAGATCCTCTGTAGTAGGAGTATAGTAAAATTGTCAAACGACTTAATAAGTTCCTGTCCCATAGTTCACTTATTTCTCTCTCCCTTCCGTTTTACACATAGGCCTATGAACATTTGAAGGAGACTTAATAGTCATTAAGTTGCAGACTGGGTCTTGAAATTTCTTGTCCAAAGCTGTTTCTACTGTCTTCACTTTCTAATTCTGGCTCATTATGAAATAAGGATTCCAGAAGTTAACTGTAGGTTCCCAGACTTCTGTTCTTGGTGCCCTTAGTCTCTGAATTTTTTTTTTTTCCAAGCATCATTAGGTCAGAAGAAATACCCAACAGGTTCCACTTAATAAATAGTTTAGTCCAAAGAATTTAGTATTTATGTCTTAATAACTTTATTTAAAAAATAATACACAAGTTGAAAGGAAAAAATAATGTTTGTGTTTAATTCTTAGTTAACCGTGAGGGCTTGCTAATGGGATGTGTACACCTGTTGGGTACTGTACAATTTCTCAAGCTTTGAAATCAGATTTGACGTTGCCAACTTCATTTCCTGTTTCACACTGATTTCCTGTGGTGCCACCAAAATCTCAGCTTTGCAAAGTTCCGGTATCATTGAAAGGAATGTAGTGTAATCTACTCCGTTGAAACTGTGCTCTATTTGAAGCTGTATTTGTGGTATCTTCCAGATGTCAGATATCAGGGTTTCCCTTAAAATTTTAAAATATCCTGCTGTGCCTGTACAAGTTTGTTATGGTGTCCAGCTCACAATCCTGGAACCAAGGCTATAAAGTAAGGGTCAGAATAGAAATGGAACTAGTGCAGGGTGCCTGGGTGGCTCAGTCGTCTGCCTTCAGCTCGGGTCATGATCCCAGGGTCCTGGGATCGAGCCTCGCATCGGGCTCCCTGTTCCGCGGGAGGCCTGCTTTTCCCCTCTCCACACCCCCTGCTTGTGTTCCCTCTCTCGCTGTGTCTCTCTCAGATAAATAAATAAAATCTTAAAAAAAAAGAAATGGAACTAGTGCTAGTGTAATACCCCCCTCCACCCCACCTCATTTGTCAGTTTCAACGCCAGTAATGACCTTTATGGATAGGATCGCTGTGTGTGTTTAGGGATTATAATTAGTACTTCCATATTAGCATATTCAGAGATTCATCTGTAATGTATGCAGTTAATGTTTTCAGTATTCTCTCTATAATGAGATTTTTTTAAACTCGTAGTTGATTACTGAAATTAAATGGCTAGCTTCTGGTTAAAATTGTTTTGAAGTTTCAGCATTAGTGTTTACAAGTAACATCAAATTTTTGCCATTCCAGTGTTAGTTCATGAAGTTTTACCATCTATTTAAGTAATCAAAAATGGAAAATTCTGCAAAAGCAGAGGAGTGTGAAAAGATCACTCTTGAAGAGGCAAAAGCATCAATAGATTTGGAAACAGAGTCTTCATTCAGTATTAATGAAAACACAACCACTCCTGGGACTGGGCTCTCTGAAAAGGCTCCTATCTGTGGACAAGTAGACACACCAAAAAAGAGAAAAATGGAATTTGAAGATGATCTTATAAAGGAAAGTTCTAGTTGTGGGGAGGATACTCCAACCAAGAAAAGAAAACTTGATGCTGAAATTGTCTCAGAGGAAAAAGGTTCTGGTGATGATGAAGGCATTTCAAGGAAAAGAAGAATGGAAACTGATGATTTTCCAAAAGATGAACCTTCTACTGGAGATGGCACACAGAAAAAGAGAAAAATAGAACTTGAAGATGTTCCTGAAAAGCAAAAAGTATGTTGAGTGTATCTTTTTTATTCCTAATGGAATGTGTCATTGAAATGTGGAGTTGTGAAATAATGTTTTTTACGTAATCTTAAACCTAAAGAATGTTCTATTTGTAATAGATAATGTCTTAAGATAGAGTAAGTTTTTAACTCTTGCAATTTAGTTGCTTTTATTTAGGTGAAACTTCTGCTAATCCAGATAATTTTTATTTAAGAACTCTTATTTGACTAAAAACTTGAAAGCTAGTTTTTATAGTTTGCTTTTCTTCAGTGTTTTGAAAACAACAGGTGTAAGTTCCAGTTGATACACTTTTTTTCCTTTTTTATTATGTGTTCATCACTTTCTTATGTCAGAAATAATAAAGATTATGACTTCAAAGATAAATTTCAACATTACACCCAGCTTTAATGTGATTCCTTTAACTATATTGTTTCCAGTTTCTCATTGGGGTAGTTACATACAATTTTAAGCCATACATAATATTTAGGATAGAGAGTACAGAACAAGGGACAGCAAGTTATTTTCATCTGGCGATACCATATTACGAAGGAATCTGAGGCAGAATATGAATTTGGATAGAAGGAGTGCTTAAGTGAATGAGTAAAAATTCTGGCATCAGTCCTGAAGAGTAAAGTGTTAGGCCAGGCTTTTGTCATTGGTAGGGTGTGAATCCTTGTAACAGAGAGGAGCTTGTATTATACACACAGTTTCAAACTTTACTAGCAGCAGAACCCTTTTTTCCAAGTAAAAATATTAAACCTGATATGTAAGATGGGTAAAAGATGAAGCACTTCGGTTGAACAGAGAAGTGTGGGAATTTGAAGCCCTTTACCTACCGTGGCATTTTTGCAGAATGCTTGGTGTCTTAGGTCGGTAGCACAAATGGAAACTGTTGGAATAGATTATAAGAAAAAACAAAACAAAAAACATTGACCCTGACCATACCTTAATGAGTTCTAATTCCTTTGTGTGTGTTTTCTCATTTAATGCTTACATCAATTTTATATAATAATATAACTTATTCCTATTTTATTCTCTTCTAGGAACCCAATGCACTGACTGACATTTATTGAATTGAATAAATCAGAACTCTGGAAGAGTACTGGTTTTATTAAGACATTGACACCAAAATTATACAGATGAAAGATTGAGATGAAAATTTTAAACCAAGAGATGTTTTTAAAAATAGGGAACAGGGAGAACAAATCTTACGTGTGATTATAATTAGTAGGATTTCTGTCATCAATGCCATTCCTTATTAAAGTTTACCGATTTCATTAGTATTTTATCCTTGTATAGGTCAGATGCTCTTTTAGGCTTATTTTTGCCATGTTCTGATCCTTAATTTTGTTCCATTCTCTTATTTTCAGAACTTAGAAGAGGGACATAGTTCAGCAGTGGCTGCCCACTATAATGAACTACAAGAAGTTGGTTTGGAGAAGCGTAGCCAAAGTCGTATTTTTTACCTAAGAAACTTTAATAATTGGATGAAAAGCGTCCTCATTGGTATGATTGATTGATTTTTGATTTATAGTTTGGAGTTTTTTATTTCAGCTTATGTTTCATTTTTTTCCCCCAAATGATTATTCATATGTTAAACTATTAAGTCTTTAATTCCTATTCACTTAATTATCAAGTTTTGACTTCGTAAAACGGGAGCAAAAATTAAAACTAGACCTTCAAGATAATTCTTTTCATATTTACTTTTGGACTACATAAGATATTTATGAGAGTTTAATTGATATCAAGTTCATAAGTTAATTAGGCTTTCAAAAGGCAGTGTGCTCCTTTTATACTTAAGATTATCTAGTGCTATTAAGTAATTATTCTATTTTACTCTAATAGTTTTGGAACAGTGACATAATGTTGGATTAAGTATTCAGCTTCTATTAAGTCAAGAAAATGGGCAGTGTCATGATTTTTCATCTCTAGGCCTTTAATGAGTCAAAAGGTCATGTGGTGATTTTTCATTGAACTTGTTTTTCTTGTAAAGTGTCTAGGGAGAAATAAAAGTTTACTTTGAGGCTTGCTGAAGACATTCAACTTTTTGGAGCCAACATTTTATTTATTTTTTTTTTTTTAAAGATTTTTTATTTATTTATTTGAGAGAGAGAATGAGAGAGAGAGAGAGAGCACATGAGAGGGGGGAGGGTCAGAGGGAGAAGCAGACTCCCTGCCGAGCAGGGAGCCCGATGTGGAACTCGATCCCGGGACTCCAGGATCATGACCTGAGCCGAAGGCAGTCGCTCAACCAACTGAGCCACCCAGGCGCCCTGGAGCCAACATTTTATTTATGGAAACTCATCTTTAAAATTAAAATGGAAATCAGTGGTGGAAATATGATTCAGAATATATTTATTGCTCTGTATATCTAGTATATTAAGTAGTCGTATTCCTTATGTGAGTTTAGAGAATTTTTCTTTTTTTATTTTTTAGATTCTATTTATTTGTCAGAGAAAGCACAAACAGGGGGAGCAGCAGGCAGAGGGGGAAGCAGGCTCCTCACTGAGCACGGAGGCCCTTGTGGGACCTGAGCGGAAGGCAGATGCTTAACGACTGAGCCACCCAGGCGTCCCGAGTTTAGAGAATTTTTAAAAGCCAGTGGGTTTTGAAGTTTTTCACAGTAAGATTTTGGGTTGTTTTGTTTTTTTAAAAGTCAGCCTCAGAATAAAAATGCTTTTGGGATTACACTAGAAAGAATAAAGTGCTAGTTATGGGTGCTTTCTACTAGTTTTGATGATAATTTACTAATTTTTATTTTACTTATTTTTTTTAAAGATTTTTAAAAAATAATCTCTATACCCAATATAGGGCTTGAACTTAAAACACCGAAATGAAGAGTCACATGCTCTGCAGACTGAGCCAGCCAGGCGCCCTAATAATTTGCCTTTTTTTTTTTTTAAGATTTATTTATTTATTTTAGAGCAAGAGTGAGAGAAAAGAGAGAGCACGAATGGGAGGGGCAGAGGGAAGGAGAATCTCAAGCAGACTCCCTGCTGAGTGCAGAGCCTCACACAGGGCTTGATCCCTCCACCCTGAGACCATGACCTGAGCCGAAATCGAGTTGGATGCTTAATTGACTGAGCTACCCAGGCGCCCCAATAATTGACTAATTTTTAAAGATACATTATTCATTCTGAATAGTATAGGGAGTGGGAACTAGGTTCATTATTTCGAACACATATTAATATTTTCTGTCTCACTTTTTAATATTCATGTTTTATTACAGAAATATGATTTATTTGTCTCTGCTAGTTTTCAGCTAGGGTAATTGAATGTTGGCTTGTCAACCCCTCCCCTTTTACTTTTAAGGGTTAGTATTATGGCATTTTTAGTCTATACTTCTTAGGTAATCTGTGGACCCTAGTCCTAATTTCTTTTTGTTTATTTCTTTTCCTCATCATCCTCAGTAATACAGATAACTTCTAGGGTGTTTTTTCTTTTTTTTTTTTTTTAAAGATTTTATTTTATTTATTTGACAGAGAGAGAGAGAGAGACAGCTAGAGAGGGAACACAAGCAGGGGGAGTGGGAGAGGGAGAAGCAGGCTCCTGGCCGAGCAGGGAGCCCGATGCGGGGCTCGATCCCAGGATCCTGGGATCATGACCCGAGCCGAAGGCAGACGCTTAACGACTGAGCCACCCAGGCGCCCCTAGGGTGTTTTTTCTGATGGGTCATTTATTCATGTGTTTATTCATTGAATAAATATTTTAAGTTCAACCATATTTTTCACATCATTAGTTGTATTATTTTTATAATCAGGGTAACAGATCAATTTTAAAAAGTCTTAAGTCAGACTTAGCAAAAAATTTTTCTCTCCACATATTTGTGCTATTCTTTCCTCCTTCAGCTGTTCCAGCAACTCTCTTAATGGGTGCTTTGCTATCTGCACCTGTCTTTCTGGTCCTCATGTAATTGGTGTGGTCTGTGCCAGCCTCCCTCTCTGGCTTTTTTTCCCTTTCTCTTCTCAGTGTCCATTCTTTGTCATTCATTTTCTCTTTCTTGTTGGTACTTACAGCTTAGTAACTACTTGAGTACTATTCTTGAATGTGATAAATATATCTTTGAATAATGTTTCATGATTTTCCCTCTTACTAGTCTTACTGTGTGGAAATAAAGAGATTTTACAATGTTCTTTTACTCCATATTATTTGTTATGCTGTTTTTTTTTTTTAAAGATTTATTTATTTTAGAAAGAGTACATGTGTGCACTCACATGGGTGGGGGGAGGGGCAGAGGGAGAGAATCCTCAAGAGATCCCCCACTGAGCATGGAGACTGACGTGGGGCTCGATTCTAGGACCCTAGATTATGACCTGAGCCGAAATCAAGAGTTGGCCACTTAACCAACTGAGCCACTCGGGAACTTCGGTTAAACTGTTTTTTTTAAGATTCATAGCAGAATGTTAAATATAGAACACTTGTGCTTCTGTTGAAATTACTTTAAGATCCTATGGACAGTGAAAGGCAGTCATACAGAATTTTTTTTTTTTTTAGATTTTCTTTATTTTAAGAGAGAAAGAGAGCATGAGTCGGGGCAGGGGTGGAGGGCAGAGGGAGAGGGAGAAACAGACTTCCCGCTAAGCAGGAAGCTCGACGCAGGTCTGGATCCCAAGACCCCAAGATCATGACCTGAGCTGAATGCAGACGTTTAACTAACTGAGCCACCTAGGCTCACTGTGAATATTTTAGCAGTCAAAATAGTACACACATGAAATAGGAAGTGTTAAACTCAGAGTAATAAAGACGGGAAGAGTAGATCTACGATTCAGTATTGTATCAGGTTTTAGAATTGCTGAATACTTCAATTGTCTAAGAATACTAATACGCCTTTAACTAATATTTGAACCATTTGGCTATTGATGTATGGAGTCCTATGATACTATTCGTTGCTTATTAATGTGATTGTTAGATTGGGATGAAAGATTTCATTTTTTATTTTAGAGTGTTTAAGAATTTTGGTCACAGTAAAATTAAGAGGTATGTATATTTTTTGGACCAGTTCTTGTATTGGTTTTGGTGGTAAGCCTGACATGTTTTATAAAAGTCAAGCAATCTTATGATCCCATAATTATTTTGATTTAGTTAGGTATATTATAAGCTAAATGTTTAGTTTTTAGAAAGAGAAAACTACAAAAATTATGAGTAATTTTTTTTTTCTTATGAACAAGTGTTGAGTCTTCTTGTATTAATTAGAATTTAAAATGTCTGCTATTCATTGTTGAGTCAGATTCTAAAAGTAGCCTTCAAAAACCTGTCTGAACTTTCTAAAATATCAGACATAGACTCTTTATAATGCTAGAGGATCAGGTCAACTAACTCTTAGTCATATTTTGAAATGTTCCCCAAAAGTTATGAATTAATTACATAAATGAACATGTAATAGTTTATAGGAAGTGTCAGGTGTCAGTAGGTTATTACGTATAACAGTTTATGCTATAGGAAAAATGGAGAAATAGTAATTTATTATTATATTTCTTTTAGGGGAATTTTTAGAAAAGGTACGACAGAAAAAAAAACGTGATATCACTGTTTTGGACCTGGGATGTGGTAAAGGTGGAGATTTGCTCAAGTGGAAAAAGGGAAGAATTAACAAGCTAGTTTGTACAGGTAAGATAAGTAATGACATGGGCAAGAATAATTTGTGATCAATCAGGTAATTGGAAAATAACAGAATCTCAGTATCACATGACACTAAAATATCTTATAAGAAGGTATCTGGGGCTATGTGTGAGATTTGTGTTTTTTTTAATGAGTTTTGAGACTTTACTGATGGTATTACATAATGTAGTTAATAAGGCTGGGATAACTTGTCCTCCCTAAAAGGAAGGAAGTAATCAAAGATAGAGTCATGTCTAAAGCACAACCTTGAAACTTCCACTGGCCAAAGATAAGACAGTTTCATTATGAAAAAGAATAGTGATTTCAGTGGATCAAAATATATCAAATAAAGGAAAAAAACTCATTGTTCACCCTTGGAGGTTGCTAGGAAACTTACTTGTCGTTCTGAAATTCATAAATTAAGGATTGGGGTATGTTCCTTATCCTATGTGAACTGTACTTCAAGGTGACCAAATGGTTAAAAAGGGAAATTCCACTCTATTAAAAAATCAAAATGAATAAGTGCAGTAGGAATGATGAAAATCACTATTTTCCACCCGTGATGAAATAATAGATCTAAGCAACAATCATAAAAAGTTGCTAAAACTATTAGGTGAGAAAGGTTGATAGGAATTTAATAACTGAATGAATCAAGCACCTGAACCCACTGGTCAGCCTTAACACCAAAGTGGGACAAGCAGATGTTATATTCTTCCAGTGAGGTGAAGTGCATAGCACCACCTGTGAAGTGACCTAAATTAGCACTTCTCAAATTTTTTGGCTTTATGAACACTATATGCCCTTATTTTTAAGATTGAGGATCACAGAAAGCTATTGTGTGTGTGGCTATAGCTATTGATTATAGAAATTGAGAATTAAAAAAATATTTTTATTCATTAAAAAATAAAGTTTAGCGAGAAGACTGGCACTTGAAAAATATTTTTCCAAATACCTTTAGAGTGTGGAATAATAGGAGACAACTGGGTTTTCACACCTGTTTCTGCATTCACTGTGTTGAGATGTGTTATTTGATGAGTAGTTGTAAAATGAAGGTCTATTTTAACAGTCCTTTCGGATGATTGAGCAGATTCATCTTTCATACTGTATCCAAACTCAACAGGTGGTAGTTCCTTAAAGGTAGTTACAGTGTGGCATCTGAATCTGTATCAGTGAAATTTTTGTATTCTGTTATATTTAAATCCATTGGTCTGTCTTGTGCTTTGAATGGATCTTTTGCCCTGCAAGATTTTGTAATATTTGGAAAATAACTTTCACTAAAGTTATGCAGATCTTCTAAATGTTGACATCAAGAAATCACATTTTTTTAATGTTACCACCAATCAGAAAAGTTTTAAGTATTGGGAAGATGCCCAGCCCATGGTGGTAGATGCAAGTGTTTCAAATTATAATTCTCACTGGAAATCTCAAGTTTTATCATTGGTAACAAATACTGTCTTTTATTTTTCTTGAAGTGAGAGGCTCACTTTGTTCATTTTCAGGAAAATGTCTGCCAAATTATAAAGTCTGAATAACCAGTTTGTCAGTTGTTCTTTCAAGTGAAAACACTTGTCTGTGAACAAAAGTGGCTAGTACAGCTCACAACACAGTCACACCAGTCCTGTTTAGACTTTGTTAGGTAGCACAGATGTTCTGTTACTTTCCATTTCATTACACAGAATATTGAAAAAGAGCCAAGAGTTAATAAAATCAAGTTTTACTGCTTTATCAAGAACATTTTTAAATGAAATTGGGTTCTTTTTTTTTTCCCATGCTAGTTTATAATGGTGAAGAAGATAACAATCAAGTATTACCTATATCATTTGGTGCACTACTACCTTGTATTCATGATAAGGTGCCAGTTTTACTTTCTGTTGCTTTTGTACCATCATTGCAAATCTCAACACAGGAAAGAGCAAATAACTTTTTATTAAGAAAAAATAAACTTGATATTTTCAAAGTTGGGCATATAGTTTAAGTTTTATAATTCAAATTGGAGTCTAAACTTTCTACTTTTAACTTGGAATAAGCATTTAAAAATCATGATAGAACTTTTCTGTTATCAGTACCTATTGAGAAAGCTTTTAATCCTTTTGAAAAATAATAAGGCATTTGCATTGGAACAGATACTTTCTTTTGAAGGAAATAGAACCTTTTTGCTTTTACTAAGGATAGATTTCATGCTAAAGTTTATCAGTTAGGATTATTGTCTAGATTTGGGCCATCTTTGCATTTACATTTTATCTCTGTGGGTCTTTGTTGCCAGTTACTAACTCCTGTCCCCCTTCCAGATATTGCTGATGTTTCTGTCAAACAGTGTCAGCAACGGTATGAGGACATGAAAAATCGTTGTCGTGATAACGAATATATTTTCAATGCAGAATTTATAACTGCTGATTGTTCAAAGGTACAGAATTTTTTTCAGTTTGTCAATTTATGTTTAATATTTTTAGTTCGGGTGAATAATGCATTTTAAAAACCAGTTAGTTCTTTTAAAATGTACTTTGAAACACTAAAAATCTCAGGACATGTCCTTTGAGTTTCAGCTAGAAATTCTATTAATGATAAATTTCCTTAAATGACCCACTGAGTACTTCTGGGAGTTTTTTGTTTTTAATAATTTGAACTTTATAAATCATTTGTTGCTTTTCTGTTCAGACAAGATTTATTTTCCAGTATTTTAAAATAGAACTGAATTTACATTTTGTTTACCTTGTAATTTATTAGGATTTGATGTTTTGTACTTTCCACTTGTTTCTGAATTTCTTAACAACTATGAAGTTAAACAGAACTACGGAGGCACTTAATAATGAAAATCTCACCTTAAACTTTAATGCTCTGTCTGACTCATTAGCTCATTAAACTATTAGGGATATCTTTAATCCTACACGTTTTGTTTGTAGTTGTGAAAGTGAGATGGAAAAGTGATAGTATACTGCTAGAATGTTGGAAACCTTTAAAAACACTTTTGCACTTTTAAAAAGTGTCCCAAAGGCCAGCTTTGTGTTTTTTTTTTTTAATCAAAGTTATTGTTCGACAACATTTTACTTTAGCTTTGAAGTAAAGCCAAATAAAAGCATCAGCTCTTTTAAATGTCATATTTGGTTGATAGATTTTGAAACATGATTTCATCCTAGTTTTTAAATTACTGTGAAAATGGAAATCAAATTCTGTTGAACCAGAAAGAAAAGATCATTTCATTGTGGACCTCATTATACATAATGAGAGAAAGGATAGGTGGTTGGGAAGGCATGTCTACTTTTATTTTAAGGACCCTAATTCTAGAAATTAACTTAGTAAAAAGTTTTTATATTGTAGTTAACTTCAAAATCTTGACCCTTTTTAATATTTAATTTTGTTTCAGGAACTTTTGATTAACAAATTTCGTGACCCAGAAACGTGCTTTGACATCTGCAGTTGTCAGTTTGTCTGTCATTATTCATTTGAATCCTATGAGCAGGCTGACATGATGCTCAGAAATGCTTGTGAGAGACTGAGCCCTGGAGGCTATTTTATTGGTACCACTCCCAATAGCTTTGAACTGATGTAAGTGCTTTTAATATATTGTGGTTTATAAGATACTCAGAATTAAGCTTATTTTAAAGTAGCAAATGTTTATCAGAAATAGAGTTTATAAAACATGTCATGTTGATCTTATAAGGGCTGAAGTACTTTGATAATATACTTGAGTAGATATTCAACATTTAAGGTCAAAAGATAGATTTACAGATGAATCTTTAAAACATTTTTACTGGTAAATTGGAGATCGATGCTATATCCAGCCAGAGGTTATAGTGCTACACAAACTCCAGATCAGATACTCAAAGACTTAGCCAGTAGTCATGATAGTGAAACCTATTTCCAGCCTAATTTTAGTTGGGAGATTGTTAATGATCTGTTAATGTACTGCTTCTTAAAAGTAGCTCAAATCCAGTTAAAAAGCTGATCAGGTATCTTTTAAAAATTGCATCCTGTAGTTTTTTCACATGCATAATCTGATCAGAATAAGTCTGAGCTAATAACTTTAATCTTTTTATTTTGGTTTGGGGATAACCTTTAATAGAAGACGCCTTGAAGCTTCGGAAACAGAATCATTTGGGAATGAGATATATACTGTGAAGTTTCAGAAGAAAGGAGATTATCCTTTATTTGGCTGCAAATATGACTTCAACTTGGAAGGTGTTGTGGATGTCCCTGAATTCTTGGTCTATTTTCCATTGCTAAATGAGTAAGAATGTCATTAATCTGTTACTCTTCTCTTTATGCCTTAAGAGAAATAAAGAAAAAAAATTAGTATTTCTGCTTATTCCTTATTTTAAATGGAACCCAAAGAAAAAGTATAGACTTGTAAAAAGAAAAAAAAAAAAAACTAACCTCAAATTCAGGCTTATGCCATAGCCTCTTATAGCCTTGCTTATTTAGTTTTCTTTCATCCTTGGAATTACTTTATCCTGTAGGTAAGAAAGGGAGTCTGTTGCCTTCATCTTGTCGCAGAAAATAGCTGACATTGCAAATAGTGAAAGTTTTTTTTTAAGGAGTTAATAACTTTGGTAATATAAAATGAGTCTTCATAAAGCAAAGCTCCTCCTTTGATGAGGATAGGTATTAAAAGTTGTTTTACATTTCACTGTAGCTTTGAACTTGCCTGTGTCTCATAGGCAGTGTTGATAATAAAATCCTGATTCAAAAAGAATATATTCACTCATGCACCTGGTTCTAGGTGTCCTAGTAGACTACAGACATAGGGAAAGTTGGGATACCAGGCTTCATCAGATAAGGCTTCAAGGCCTTATGAGACCCCTGGGTCTTAGGGTTTCCCTGAGAGGGAAAATGGAAGAGTCGTAAGGCCATGTCACAGTTGACCAAACTTGATTTCTTACTTTTAAAAAGTCTTTTGTTAACTGAGGAAAGAGAAGAGCTTTATTTGCTGCTTATTTTGAGTTTGTGATTATTTGAATTGTGCCTCAGTCAGGTTATAAAATTATAGATAAAAGACTTTTAGGATTCTACAGTATATAAAAATTTTATACAATAAACTATAACATTTAAAAATTTAAATCATTTTTCCCCTTAACATTAGTAAACTTCTATGAAATGTTTCTGCTCTTTACCTTTATAAAAGGAGAAATTAAATGTTTTTAATATGTCATTACATGTGTTTAGTTTTTGGTTAACAAAGTTGGTAATTTGAGTAGGCCCAAAAAGATAAAGGATATAATGAAAGTTTTTTTTTTTTTTTTAAGATTTATTTATTGGCGGGGGTGGGGAGGAGGGGCAGAGTGAGAGAGAATCTCAAGCAGGTTCCCAGCTAAGTGCAGACCCTGAGATCATGACCTGAGCCAAAATCAGGAGTTGGACATTTAACCAACTGAACCACTCAGGTGCCCCATAATGCAAGTTTTTTTAAATGCTAGGAAGCACTAGCAATCTTTTCTACTTAATTTGCCTAATGGTGATGCACATGTAAAGTTACAAGTCATCACTATAATATCTAAATTTTTAAAAAAATAATTTAGTAAGACAGTTATACGTTCAATGAGACAGGATCTGAAAATGCATAGGATTTTGAGATGCCCTTTTGCATTTTTATTAAGAAACTGAACAAATAATTAACTGTTATGTGGCAAACCTATTCAAATTGGTCAAATTGAGTCTTACTTCTTTGTAATTATGATATTTCTCAGGTGTAAAACTTGATTTTATTTCTGAAGGCTTATTTTGGAGACTTATGGTAGAAAATGAACTGCCTAGAATAAAAGAGACTCTTTACTCATGTTGTCTATCCAAGAAGGGCTAATTCAAATCATGGGGAGCACTGCCTTACATATGCCTCTTACATATATATCCCAGTGGCTCTCAGGTATCTTCTTTTTCATTGTCCTTTCCCCATTATCACCTCATAGGCCTTCTCATCGACCCTTTCAGAGTTAGTTTCCCTTCATCTCCTCCTTTACCTGCTACCTAAGATCATCCCCAGCCCCCTTATGTTGTCAACAGATACAGATACTATAAACTTTGGCAAATGCAGTAGGAAAAAAAAACCAGTATAACAAGGAGAGCTAATATAGCTGAGTATTTAAGGAATCCATCTGTGAAGAAGTGATGTTTAAGCCAACATCTAAAGGATGAAAAGAAGTTCACCAATTGAAGACTAGAAGGGAGAATGTTCCAGGTATAGGGGCAGTATATGTGAATGAGTTGAAGGAAAACCATTGTGTGGGTTGTAAGGAATCAGGGCCCAAGTGGCTCAAGATGAGGCAGCATTATTATTATTATTATTATTATTTTATTATTAAGCTCTATGCCCAGTGTGGGGCTTGAACTCATGACCTGGAGATCAAGTCACATGCTGTATGGTTGCATGGACAGCCAGCCAGGCGCTTCAAGGAACCATTTCTTTATAGATGACTGCATTAGAGGCCATGCAAAAGACTTTTGAATTGTGTCCTATTAAGTGTGCTAGAAAGCCAGTGAAGGGTGTAGATGAGGGAAGTGACATGTATGTATTTTTTGAAAGCTCAGTCTGGCTGCAGTTGGAAAATTCGTTGAGGGGGAGTAAGAATGAAAGTAAGGAAACAAGCGAAGTAGTATAGCTGAGTGGTGGTGGTAATTAAAGCAAGATGGTGGCCAACGAAGGGTTAAGAAGAACTATTTGAAGAACATTTTTAAGTAAACAGAGGACGTAGTGGTGTGTGGAACATTGGGAAGAGGATGGTGGCATGGAGGACTCTGAGGTTTCTGGCATGAATCATTAGATAGATTTACTGAAATAGCAAAGATTGGCAGAACAATCTAGTGGGGTTCAGCCTTGATTTGGGAAGGTAGAGAATACCTGTGACACATCCTGGTGGAGATTTCTAGGAAGCAGTGGAGTAAGTGAGTGTGACGAGAGAGCTGAGCTACAGATAGCTGTTGGCATGCTGTGTGAAGTCAGGGAAGGGAAAATGAGTAATGCTCTGGGCCAAACTCTTCAGAATATTAAAATTTAGAAGTTGGGTAAAAGAAATTTGTAAAATTGCGAAGAAGCAGCCCAAGATGTGGTATAAAAATTAATAGTGTATCTTGCCAGAAAACCCAAGAGATGAAAGAGAGTATTTTAAGAAGGAATGGCAGCTGTTTTTAATGCCACTGTGAGGGATCAAGTTAAATAAAATGGAATTAATAGAAAAGTGTTCCTTATAGCTATTCATCCCCATCTCATAGCCTTTCGTTTTACTTCCTGACCTATTTGTTACAGTAATAGAGTTTCCTGTGACTCATTGAGATTTAGGATGCATGTTATGTATAGATGTAATTACTGGTATGTTACTCTTCATTCATTTTGTATCATCGTGTTGTGAATTTATAATGATAGCTTTTTTGGTGATGCCCAGACATTGTCACTGTTGTGTGAAAGTAAACTTTAGAGGAATTATAAATATTTTGGAAATGTTTTCATTAAGTAATCTGTTTTGGACAGAATGGCGAAGAAGTACAATATGAAACTAGTCTACAAAAAAACATTTCTGGAATTCTATGAAGAAAAGATTAAGAACAACGAAAATAAAATGCTGTTAAAACGAATGCAGGCCCTGGAGGTAGGTATTTAGAAAAGGTATAAATATTCCACATCTTCGTAAACTTGCTTGACTGTTTCTGAGATTCCTTTTAAGGCTGTATAGATGCTCAATATTTATATAAATCACACAGATTATTTTGAACCACTCTAGACTCTTCAGCACCTAGGACAGAGCTCATTACAGAACCTTTCCTTGGTGGGTACTCAGGAAATGAATGAATGAATGAATGAATGAGTGGTGCTATCATCAAATTCTATTTTCTAGATAGTACGCCTTTTTAATAGAATTTCTTAACCTCAGGACTGTTGGCATTTGGGACTTTAATTTTTTTGTTGTGAGGGGCCGTTCTATTCAACAACATCTCTGTCCTCTATGCACTAGATTTTAGTAGCACCCCTGCCCCCAGTTGTGACAGCCAAAAATGACTCCTGACAGTATTACCAAATGTCCCCTGGGGTACATAATTGCACTGCTTCTTCACAATATTGCCCTTTCTTTACACATTAGTAATTTAAAATCTTCCTGGCCAGGGTCTAAGATGAGCTCATACCATGACTAATTTTGTTCTTTGCTGACTACCTAGCAAGATTCTGGTCTTTTAGGCCATATTGTTGCTGGGACCTGCTTCTGGACTCCTTCCTAATTGCAGCAATGACAGCTTCTATACAAGTTTTAAATATAGTGGATAGCCATTGACTAGTTTGTTTTCCTTATGTCCATTTTCAGTATTTAATTAAGTCTAAAATAGTGAACATTTTTATTCTTTTTTTTTTTTTTAAAGATTTTATTTATTTATTTGAGAGAGAATGAGAGGAAGCACATGAGAGGGGGGAGGGTCAGAGGGAGAAGCAGACTCCCTGCTGAGCAGGGAGCCCGATGCGGGACTCGATCCTGGGACTCCAGGATCATGACCTGAGCCAAAGGCAGTCGCTTAACCAACTGAGCCACCCAGGCGCCCCATTTTTATTCTTGATCAACACAGTCATATTAATCAAATGATCATTAAACTTCTTTAGAGAGTTCATTCAACTTAGAATATTTTTTAAACTACTTTAAGCATATACTTATTTAATTTGCTAATTACCCCACAAAGTAGGCAAAACAGTCACCTTCCATATTTTAAAATGGGAAGTATGAGGCCCAGAGAGGATACATGACTTGTTCAAGGTCACAAAGCTATTAACCTTCATATTTTCTTTAGTTTTTATAGGTGGTTTTTAAACAAAAGTTGCATCCATACAACTTTCCCAATTTGGACTGGAAGGGTCCTTTTTAAATCCTAAATTATCTTTTGAAACCACTAAAATGTTACATTCTTCATTAGTTGTATTTCCTATATTTTAGAATTAAGAATATTTGTATTTGCTTTATATTAGCAGGAGAAGCTTGTTTTTATTTTGAGGGAGAAGAAAAAACTAGAAAAAGTGTGTGTACAAATCACCACACACACACATGCGTGTAGGTTGTCATCCTTGGTGCTTTGCATGTACAAAAACATGTACTTAAACAGACAGCTAAATTTCTAATATCTGAGCTTACTGTAGGATACATATAAAGCAAGAGAAAAGAGAAGATAGCGAAGTAGGCATTTCTGGATCATTTTCTTAAAAATTCATCAGGAAGATCTAGGTTTAAAGTGGTTCCTTGCTAGCTGGTTTGCTATAAAAAGACAAAGGAATTGCAAAGAACATATAACCTTTGTAAAGTAGATGGTTGTTAAAAATATTAAGTATTCTATGTAATTCATTCTGTTTTGATTTACATGTATTACAGAGCAGGGCACTTCATAGATAAGGGGATGCTACTTGAAATGGATTAAAAGTAGTGCTTGAGGTAATCTGAATAAACATTTGGCCAACATAGCCTTAAAAACAAAGCTGTGTGTGTGTGTGTGTGTGTGTGTGTGTGTGAAAAATATGGAGATTGCCCATAATAATTTGGAGGCTGGATTATTTTCCTTATCTTTTTTTTTATGTTATGTTAATCACCATACATTACATCATTAGTTTTTGATGTAGTGTTTGATGACTCACCGCTTGTCTACAACAGCCAGTGCTCCATGCAGAACGTGCCCTGTTCAATAGCCATCACCAGGCCAACCCGTCCTCCCACTGCCCTTCCCTCTAGAACTCTCAGTTTGTTTGTCAGAGTCCATCGTCTCTCATGGTTCGTCTCCCCCTCCGATTTCCCCCCCTTCATTCTTCCCCTCCTGCTATATTCCTTTCTTTTTCTTAACATGTAATGTATTATTTGTTTCAGAGGTACAGCTCTGTGATTCAACAGTCTTACACACTTCACAGTGCTCACCATAGCACATACACTCCCCAATGTCTATCACCCAGCCACCCCTTCCCTCCCACTCCCCACCGCTCCACCAACCTTCAGTTTGTTTCCTGAGATTAAGAATTCCTCATATCAATGAGGTCATATGATACATGTCTTTCTCTGATAGACTTATTTCGCTCAGCATAACACCCTCCAGTTCCATCCACATCGTTGCAAATGGCAAGTTTTCATTCCTTTTGATGGCTGCATAATATTCCATTGTATATATATACCACGTCTTCTTTATCCATTCATCTGTTGATGGACATCTTGGCTCTTTCCACAGTTCGGCTATTGTGAACATTGCTGCTATGAACAACAGGGTGCACGTACTCCTTCAAATCCCTACATTTGTATCTTTGGAGTAAATACCAAGTAGTGCAATTCCTGGATCGTAGGTAGCTCTATTTTCAACTTTTTGAGGAACCTACATACTCTTTTCCAAAGTGGCTCCACCAGCTTGCATTCCCACCAACAGTGTAGGAGGATTCCCCTTTCTCTGCATCCCCACCAACATCTGTCATTTCCTGACTTGTTAATTTTAGCCATTCTGACTGGTGTGAGGTGATACCTCATTGAAGTTTTGATTTGGATATCCCTGATGCTGAGTGATGTTGAGCACTTTTTGATGTGTCTGTTGGCCATTTGGATGTCTTTGGAAAAATGTCTGTTCATGTCTTTTGCCCATTTCTTGATTGGATTATTTGTTCTTTGGGTGTTGAGTTTCATAAGTTCTTTATAGATTTTGGATACTAGCCCTTTATCTGATGTGTCATTTGCAAATATCTTCTCCCATTCTGTCGCAAAAGCTTTTTATCTTGATGAGGTCCCAATATTTCATTTTTGCCCTTGCTTCCCTTGCCTTTGGTGATGTTTCTAGGAAGAAGTTGCTGTGGCTGAAGTCAAAGAGGTTGCTGCCTGTGTTCTCCTTTAGGGTTTTGATGGACTTCTGTCTCACATTGAGGTCTTTCACCATTTGGAGTCTTTTTTTGTGTGTGGTGTAAGGAAATGGTCCAGTTTCATTCTTCTGCATGTGGCTGTCCAATTTTCCCAACACCATTTGTTGAAGAGACTGTCTTTGTTCCATTGGACATTCTTTCCTGCTTTGTCGAAGATTAGTTGACCATAGAGTTGAGGGTCTATTTCTGGGCTCTCTATTCTATTCCATTGATCTATGTGTCTGTTTTTGTGCCAGTACCATGCTGTCTTGATGATGACAGCCTTGTAATAGAGCTGGAAGTCCAGAATTGTGATGCTACCAGCTTTGCTTTTCTTTTTCAACATTCCTCTGGCTATTTGGGGTCTCTTCTGGTTCCATACAAATTTTAGGATTATTTGTTCGATTTCTATGAAAAAAGTGGATGGTAGTTTGATGGGGGTTGCATTGAATGTGTAGATTGCTCTAGGTAGCATGGACATCTTCACAATATTTGTTCTTCCAATCCATGAGCATGGAACGTTTTTCCATTTCTTTGTGTCTTCCTCAATTTCTTTCATGAGTATTTTATAATTTTCTGGTACAGATTCTTTGCCTCTTTGTTTAGATTTATTCATAGGTATCTTATGGTTTTGGGTGCAGTTGTAAATGGGATCGACTCCTTAATTTCTCTTTCTTCTGTCTTGCTGGTGTACAGGAATGCCACTGATTTCTGTGCATTGATTTTATATCCTGCCACTTTACTGAATTCCTGTATGAGTTCTAGCAGTTTTGGGGTGGAGTTTTTTGGGTTTTCCACATGAAGTATCATATCATCTGCAGACTGAGAGTTTGACTTCTTTGCCGATTTGGATGCCTTTGATTTCTTTCTGTTGTCTGATTGCTGTGGCTAGGACTTCAATTCTATGTTGAATAGCAGTGGCGATATTGGACATCCCTGCCATGTTCCTGACCTTAGGGGGAAAGCGCTCAGTTTTTCCCCATTGAGAATGATATTCAGTGTGGGTTTTCATAGATGACTTTTATGATATTGAGGTATGTACCCTCTATGCCTATACTCTGAAGAGTTTTGATCAAGAAAGGATGCTGTACTTTGTCAAATGCTTTTTCTGCATCTATTGAGAGGATTATATGGTTCTTGTTATTTCTTTTATTAATGTAATGTATCACATTGATTGATTTGCGGATGTTGAACCAACCTTGCAGCCCAGGGATAAATCCCACTTGGTCGTGGTGATTAATCCTTTTAATGTACTGTTGGATCCTATTGGCTAGTATTTTGGTGAGAATTTTTGCATCCATGTTCATCAAGGATATTGGTCTGTAATTCTCCTTTTTGATGGGGTCTTTGTCTGGTTTTGGGATCAAGGTAATGCTGGCCTCATAAAACGAGTTTAGAAGTTTCCCTTCCATTTCTATTTTATGGAACAGTTTCAGAAGAATAGGTATTAATTCTTCGTTCAGTGTTTGGTAGAATTCCCCTGGGAAGCCATCTGGACCTAGCCTTTTGTTTGTTGGGAGATTTTTGATGACTACTTCAATTTCCTTAGTGGTTATATGTCTGTTCAGATTTTCAATTTCTTCCTTGTTTGGTTTTGGTAGTTGATACATCTCTAGGAATGCATCCATTTCTTCCAGGATATCTAATTTGCTGGCATAGAGTTGCTCATAATATGTTCTTATAATTGTTTGTATTTCTTTGGAGTTGGTTGTGATCTCTCCTCTTTCATTCATGATTTTCTTGATTTGGGTCATT